GTAAAACAAGGAAATTGAAAAAGCACCAGGAGTTCCAATTCTACACAAAATCGAAAATAAAAATGTTTGGGGAAGGCTGGCCATGTGGTTAAAACACAGGAGTGGGAGTCATTAGTTCCCAGTACTGTCACAGACTTTTTAGGTAACTCATATCCTTTCTTGGTACTCCGGTTCTCCTCATTTAACAGCTGAGAGCTATAAAGCTTGTCTATTAACAGAAGCAAGATGAGCTTTCCTTTGCTCACGCAAACAAAAGAAAGTTGGGAAATATTAAATAATTTTTGTGAAAGAAACGAATGGGAAGATTTTCAGGAAACATAGTTTTTTCAAGGAGTGTAAAACTTTTTTCTATGACTATAGCTGAGCATCTCAACTCGGACAGTTTAGGGTCTTATTTTCCTCTTCCTAGCAGTATGTTTTTGCTCTGCAGAAACCAGTGGAATACACCAGCTGAAGCAGAAAACAAAGTCCTTACGTTTGGCCTGCCATTACCCAGGAAACTGGTGAAATTGAGGTTTTTAACTCTGAAGAGAAGGGGCAAAATTTCTCTTGTGTTTTCAGATTTGACACACGGAAAACAAATTCTTCTGGGTTTTGAAAACACAGGTTCCAAAGAGATGAAAGCCCCAAAAATCAAAGTTTGCAAATCATTCAAAAAGCAAGCTCATGCCCCACGCAGATGTTTCACCTGAGGGTTCTAGAGACAGTCATTCCTTGACATGCTGATAACTAAACAGAATGAATAAATCAGCACCACATTCATTCAAGACTCTTGATATTAATTCTTACAATGTACTGACAGCAAGAAACACCTGATCCTGAGACATCACCAATACTGTCTTACAATAATCCTAGAGGAAGCAAACAGACAAAATGCTGATGGCAGTCTAACACTGTTACTGAGAAGCAGACGGAGCTATGCTTTAAAGGCTGAACTACACTTCTCTCTTAAAACCAATCACAAATGCATTATTTACTGTGCCTAATTCGTTTAATTAAGCAAAGCTGGATTTCCCAGCTTATGAATCAGTGTTATATACATGCAATAGAGTCAGAAAGGGGAACTAAACCACCAGCTTTACCATCAAAGCATCAGGCAGTCATCACTCATGCCAAAAGAGAACTAACACAAATGGACACACACACTGGAGCCGGCCGCTAACGGAAGACACAGCTGCATAGACTAAGCCAGCATGTTCCAAGTGCTATGAACAGGGAAAAAAAAAAAAAATCCAGATCAAGTCAAGAATGCTGCGCTTCTCTTTGGCTATTCCAACTTCTAGTGGCAAAGTGTGACCAACATAGTAGGCTTCCAATTTTGCCAATATTCTCCCAGTAAATTCTTCCACTGTAATCACACACATCAGTCACACATCAGAGTGAAGGATCCCTGCCTTCTCCCTGAGGGATTTTATGCCCCGTTGCAGAAGACAGTTGGGAATAGACTGCCACCTCTCTGTAGGCATATTTGAGTTCTCTCTTCCCACCCCTAGCTGATCAAGATAAAAAAATTTCATCTTAAAACCATTACAACAAACATCTCCTAGTCTCTAATGTAATGGCAACGCAAATGAAGCCAAGCTTAAGCAGATTCTTCCTCACCAACTGTTGTAGAGAATTCTTTCTCTCTGGGAATTGCTGTGCATCTCAGGCATTAGGGGGACATATCTCCCTAAATCTTGGCCACAGGCCATGCAGCAGCATGACTACCTCCAGGAACAGAAGACAAGCTATCCCAGAGCCCTGTGCCTGCACAACAAAGTTCAGTATTTGTATTATTTCCTGGCTAAGGACATAGCCCTGGAGATACTGGTACACTATTGGGAACCCTTCCTTACCACACCATTTTGAATGCCAGATCTGCAAACGTCTCCCTGCACCCCACATCTTACATTCCTACTTTCCTCTCCACAGTCCCAGTATTTCATGCCCTCTGCCTCCTCCCAACACACCTCTCACCACTCTGGCTTCCTACTGTATATTCCCACAGTTTCACCTCTGCTTAGCCTCCTCTCCAGAACACCCCAGCCTCAAAACATTCTTGTTTTCCTAATCCACAATCCCAACATCCCTCGCACACTACCCCCACCCTCTGTTATCCCCTGAAAGTGCAGATTCCAACACTGGCTCCATCACAGCTCAGGTTGCTCTAGAGTCCACGGTCCAAGTGCAGAAGCTGCTTTAACACTGGATGAAATGCAATTTTTCAACCACTAAATAGATGTATTCCTTTACAATGTACCCCCAGGTGACATCTCAGTCACCCTCCTTCATGAAAGGGTGTATCTTGGATTGCATAACACTTACTGTAGGACAAAGCCACTGTGCAAAACCTTGTTATTACATTATAACTCATTAATGTATCCACACCCAAACTACTCCTCACAGCACATGGTTCAGAGGCATCTTGTGCAGGCCTGTTACTTATCATTACTCTAGGCTGGATAAACTTCCATTGCCCATCTTTTGGATTAAGATTTTGTCTCATATTCAGTACCAAAAATAAAAAAAATTTGTTCTCATAAAGCATGACCTCGCTTTCTAGAAATGACTTTTCTGTTGTTATTCCTTGCATTACTGCTGTTCAAATTAAACTAACTAGGATTTGTAACTTTGACATCTTGAATACAATCAGCAAACACATTGCTTGGCGCATAGCCTTATAGAGCTCAGCAGTGTGATTGTGAGAAACCAGATGAAACGGGTACACACATTTACCTCAGCTGCAGGTCACGTGAAATTAGAGCAAGCATCTTTTTGGTAGCTCTATCTTGAAGTGAGATTACGATCAGAAGCTTGACTATACACGAATCACCTTCTTACTAGTAGTGGATGAGGCCTCCATACTGTGTCCTAATTAAAAAAAATACGGGTTTACTCACTTTCAGATCTCCTGTCTCTCTTCCAGAGAAACAGCGCAGCTAGAAACAAAGGGTTCTAGATTAAATTCTGGATCATGTATCAACAATATTAACCAAGCTCCAATTGCAAAATCTTTGATAATTTCAATTATGAATGGAAAGAGAAGACCAAGTTGGCCAGCAGAAAAATCTGTTTCTGTATACCATCAACTACAAACAGACATGGGCACCACTCAGAGTAGAAATTTCAAAACATACCGCCTGCTTAAGCTCTGCTGGAAAGCCACTTGTTAGATTCCCTATGCAAAAAGGATGACGATACAAGCTTATTCTGCACTGATATGGAGACATAACTATAAAAACAACATAGAACTATCAGGTCATTCTCTAAGTTTACAGGCAAATCAGATTTTCTGCTCTGAAGGAGTAAAACAAAACCAGAGAGGTTCCATAAGCAGGTAGCATCTTCCGACTGTTTCAGCTTGCCAGTGAGGGCACAATCAAGCAGGCCAGAACCAACATACAAACAGACAAATTTTGGTTAACTTGGGTAAGCAGGTGCAGTGTCACTGACTTTTCACCTTTTTCTGGTGGAGGAAGAGAGTCATAATCACACTTTCAATACTTTCACAAGTGTAAAAGATTGAATGTATTCCTAGCTATCAAGAGAGATTTTGAGTTCAACATTGGTTCCGCCCTGCATTCACCATCTCACAGACAGATCTGTGAGACAGATCTCACATAAATTACTTAATCTTACAGTGCTTCATTTTCTCTGTTTATAAAGTGGAGCAGGCTTGCTGTAATTTGTTTCAGTATAAATGAAAAAGAGGTTTATGACTTGTAATGTTTTGGGGTGAAGGCAAGGTATAGTAAAAATCTTGAATTTGCCCTATTCAGTATGACATTTGGCAGCTAGTGTTTTATATTCACTGGATTAATTTCTTTTAAAATTAGTATTTTCAATAATGGAAACAATGTGACCAATTCCATTCACTTTACCCTATATATGCACAACCCAAAGCTAAATCGATCAATCATGCTTTTCATTTTCCACCCTAAGTCTCACATTAAGATTTCATAAACTTGCAATATTCCTCTCCTTGCTTTAAAAAAAGTCTATTAATACATTTGATTTATAAATAATGTATTTGATATATAAGTAACAGCGAATGCCAAGCAGCTGAAAATACCACTGGTGTAAACACAATTCCTTCTGTCAAGTTAGCTCCCATAAATAAGTTTGATCCAAAGTTTCTGAATGCAATTGCTAGTAAAGATTTCACAGTAACTTACAGAATTCTTAAGGCAGGAATTTCTGTTTCAGGCTTATTCAAGGTAAAATAAAACATCAGTTCTATTGTTTTTAGACAAAGAAAGTAAGATCAGTCTATAAAGTTCAAACAAATCACACTATATAATATATTTTGGTTTGGTACAATTTAAAAACTCCAAAATGTTTTTTGGTTTATCTCCAAAAAAAGAAAAGCAGAGGCAAGCATAATATGCAAACATTTTAAGGCATTATCTAGCTTTTTGATGAATAAAACCTCGTTTTACTTTAACATGCTTTTTCACATTCATAATTACTCTGATGTAATGCACCCTGTAGCTACAGACATTGCACTGAAAATAAACTGGATTTTTTTTGTTTTAATTAAATTATTGAGTAACTCAAGTTTAAGGCACTAGCAAATTATGTGTCATGTTTCAAACGTTTGGAAATGAACATATTTGTGTGCATTCCACTGAACCAGGCCATTCATAGGCCAATTCCTCACCCTGGCATTCAGAGTTAGCATTACACTTCTGGTTTACTTAGATGAGGTGGCAGATGAATTCTGTTGCTATGGCTGTCCTAGTGGTAACAGTACTAGTTAGTCATCCTGTACACATCACTTTATCCAGCCCTACGTGGGAAAGCTCATGCATCTGCTTAGAAGTAGCTGCAAAAGGCAAAAGAGAAAAATGAAAAAACATACGTGAGAGTTTGTACATTCAGCTATGTGTATTGGTGGCTCACATATGCGCTCGACTACGAAAACTAGGAAAAATCTGTTCAAAGATTTATTTTTCTCCAAATAGAGTTGTTTCCACACCCTGCGCCCAACCCTTTCCCAGGGCAATCAAGTCAGTGGTTCACAGAGTTGAGGCAGTCAGATTTAAATTTGGAGTTGCTCTGTAGTGTCCAGGTTTGTTTTGCTCCCTCTGCTGAGAAGCACTGCTAAATCTGAAGCGTGTCAAGTGGGTCAGGTTCAGAAGCTGGTCAGTTCTGGTTCCTCCTGACACTCTGGACACCGAGTTCTGGAATCCAAATGAAGAGGATATTAATCAAAGAATGCCAAAGTGACTTTTCCCATTTTGATGAAGATTGGTGAGCTGGACAGGCTTTTGTTGTTATTCCAGCTCCATTTGCTTTTTTGTGTCTGTGCACACTAGTTCACACAGCAGCAAAAGGAAAATGTTTCCCTGTGGAGATAAGGACATAATCTTCCAGACATTTTTGTTTGCTCAGCCATCAATGATTATCACACCCCTTAGAGAGACAAGATTGCAATTCCCACCTGTGCAATTCACAGCATCTCCAGGGACTCTTAACAGGCTATTCTTACCAGGCAAGGATGGTGAGAAGGCTTCTCTTCCAGTGAAGCTCGCAAATCCAAACTGCTGAGCGTGGGGTTGCTGGAAGGGATGGTATTTTCCCAGCCAGCCAGGCAATGCTGTGAAAAGAGATGGGAATGCTGCATTAGAGTGCTTTACCCTTTTTAATCTATTGTGGCCTGTTAGTTCTAAATAATAACTTCTGCACAGGGAGGTTTTAGCAGGTAATTAATTAATTTTTTAGGAGTTTTGTATGACTTAGGGGAAAGAGAAGAAATCTCTAACGAAGCCAAACTGCATAGCTGTCCCCTCTTCTACCTTTCACTGGCTAATTATTTCTAAAACAATCTCCTGCTTTATGAACTCAAGCACCCAACCTCTCTGAACCCGTCTCAGCTGACTCATCCAGTTCCCTAAACCTCAAAACCAGGCTTCTTCCTACCTCTTCGCTGGACATTTCTAGGCCAGGGCTAGGTCTAATCAAGAACACTGCCTGCAGCATTGCCTAGTGGCTGGAATATAGGACCAACTCTACAAAACCAGTTTTGAATCCAGCCTTGCCACTACTGATTTTGCCTGGCCCCTATACGCTGTGAATACTTCACAGAAGCTTGTCTTTTAGACTATCTAACAGCTGTAGAAAGAAACACAGGCACTCTTAGGTATGGTTCATTGTGTTGAAAGGTCAATGCCTGAAATAAGTCAGCTGAATCATGCCCCAGAAGTATACAGCTCCATATGGCACTTTCTTTTCCTCAGTGTAAAGCATCTGGAGATATGTCATATATTTTATGCCAGTTACACAAAGGTATGAACACACCAATGGCTTTTCTTGCTATCTCAGTGACGCAGATCAGAAATTTTAGTGGAAACCCTGCTAGGGGGATGAGTCCCAGATTCTCTTTCCTTCCTGTGCTGTAACAATGCCCAGCCTAGGCTCTGCCATCAGTATCAGCAAGAAGACAGAAACTTACCGAAGGCAATGCTAGATTGTCTGCCGCTTCAAAGCTCTTCCTGCGATGGGCTTTGTATTTGTAGGCAGGCATAAGGGTAGATCTGGGAATGCTGACCCTGCAACCGCAGAAGGGAAGTAATTGCCTACACCTTCCACAAGGCAGAGGAAATCTGCATGCCTTCCCCACTCAGAATCCAAGGGTCTAATCCCAAAGTGAACCAAGCGAAACAGTTTTGGATTAGGGCATTAGACACTTAACATGTACATTCAGATTCTGGACCAATTCAGACAAACCATGCATTTCTCACTGACTTCAAAACTGTTTCTGCTTATGAAAAAGATCAGTAGGGAGTTTTTAAGCAAGAGATATCTCTGCCTTGAGAACAGCAACCTTCTACAGAGCTATTTTGACACTGTTTTCTCCCTCACATGATCAGCTTTTTCTTCCCCGCTGTTTCCTTGAGTTCTGCATATTACAAAGCAATAATTCTTATCTACCTGACATAGACTGGCTCTTCCAGGACTTCTGGGGGCTGGTGAGTACGTGGGATCTTACACATGGGGCAGGCAGATTCTGAATCCACAGGGACAGTGAAGAGGCGCTGGTTTAATCGATAACAGTGAACACCTGCCACAGAGTAACAAAACATCATGGTATTTCTAGTTTGTCAGAAGGGTCCTCAACCCAGTCAACAAAGCTCTGTTCTACCACAGTGCCACACATGCATTCTATAGAAAGAGCTGCTTTTCCTGAAATATCTTTTACATTTCCTATCCCCAAATAAGTTCCTAAAAAGCAAAACCAAAACTTCAACCTCGTTAACTTAGAAAGAGAACATTAGCCAATTACAAGAAACCCTGACAAAATAAGATGACACTGATCGAGAGAGGATCCCTAGAAGACTCAAGTATCTTTAGAGTAGGAAGTTGAATCTTGTTTAGAAACTGCAGCTAAAAAACCCACATTATTCCTTGTCTTGCATGATGTGGGGCGCTCTCAGAACGACAGGCAAAGACTGCTCAGTTGTTTGTTCACAGAAATTGGATTAGGAAGAAATCTGATCTTACACTTATGGGAACGGGTTATCAAATCTGGTTCTTGTTCAGGAACTATGTAATCCAGAGCCTTGGGCCTAAAGAAACAGGCAAACAAATCAGTTAGTGACAGGCCCACTGAACACCCCAACTTTTCCAAGCATACATTTCTGACTGGGAGGTAAAGGCCTACAAAGCCACTTACAATTTCCCACTCGAATCAAACTATACTTCTCATTACTCTAAAGGGCTACATTGCTGCTTCAGCCCTTCCCCCATACCCACTTACTCCAGGTGCTGCTCATGAATACACGCTTCTTTGTTGGCCTGTCGGAATTCGTGCAGCTCAGCAAAGTATTGATCAGATTTTTCTGCTACTGAAGAGTTTGTATCTAGGAGCCCTGAGAAGGCCAAGGAAAGAGAAAAGTGCAAGAATTTACCAAATTTGGGAAAGCACCAAAGCAAGCTTCACACAAAACAGTCAAAACAACCAAAGGTCTGAAGCACCAAAATGGATAATGAGAAGAGCATGTGTCTTGGTTTCAGCTGGGAAGCTTTCTTCTTAGTAGTTGATATAGTGTTGTGGTTTGGATTTAGTATGAGAATAATGTTGATTACACACTGATGTTTTAGTTGTTGCTAAGTAGTGTTTACACTAAGTCAAGGACTTTTCAGCTTCCCATGCTCTTCCAGGTGCCCAAGAAGAGGGGGCACAGCCAAGACAGCTGATCCAAACTGGCCAAAGGGACACTCCATACCATATGACGTCATACTCAGTATATAAACTAGGGGGAGTTGGCTGGGGGGCAGTGATCACTGCTCGGGGACTGGCTGGGCATTGGTCAGCGCGTGGTGAGCGGTTGCTTTACTTGTTTTTCCTGGGTTTGGTTTCTCTCTCTCTCTCGTTGTTTTCCTCTTC